ATCAGCACTGCCCCGGGCTGCGTGCTCCGCAACCCATCGCAGGGGAGAGTCAAGGTTGCCTTGAAGTAGATCAGAAGCAGCCGACAAGTGTAGACAGATCGCTTAGACCTGCCCTCTTGATGGCGGGACCCAGTATGTGTGCCCTCCCTCCCTGGAGAGCATCGCTGGCAGCGAGGAGGTGAGGGGCACTGCTGATGCATGGGTGTCCCCTCGGTCGGGGCATCCTAAAATGGTGGGCACGGGAGGAGAAATCTCTTTGTATGAGTGAAATGTTTTCCCCACCGCACGCAGCGACTTCTGTCACTCCTGTTGGCTTCAGCAGAGCCATGAATTAACTCTTACTTTTAAATAGATTTGCCTTTATGTTCTTGGCCAACATAATTATGCTTCTGCCTTTGTTTTGCAGATTACCAGTCTTCCCTTTTTCCTGTGTTTCACCTTCTCTGTCCTAGAGGGCTTGCATCTCCAGGATAAATTAATTTCTAGAGACAGGGTGTCTGTTCCCAAGAACAGACATGAAACCCCAGCTCCCCTCCCGTCATGAGGCTGGGGCCGTTGCAGGTGGCTCACACACACCACGGTGGGGCCTGATCTCTCTGAACTCAGTGGAATTTTTCAAGTTGAAAAATTTTATACAAATATTAGTTTGATGATAATGGATGTTGTTCTTAATACATCTTCCAGTTTGCAAATCAGTTCTTTTTCTTATTTAAACATTCACTTTCGTAGCATTATGTCAGTCACAGCTCTCCTTAGGTTGCACACAGGTTCTCTGTTGAATTTGCAGCCCCTAGTTATAATGCTCAGCACAAATAAAAGCTTTTCCCTAACAGGAACAAGACCCAGCGGTGTTTGGAGAAGAGTTTGCCAACATATCTCGTGCTACGCTTCAGATCAGATACTCACTGCTGCCATACTTATACACCTTGTTCTTCGAGTCTCACGTTCATGGAAACACGGTGGTGCGGTCGCTGATGCATGAGTGAGTTTGGATTCTCTCTTTTTTATCACATTTTACTCACAAAAGTAGTTGAGTTTCTATGTATAAACTAGTTGATATCTGTTTGAGAATAGTCACGGTAATATTACTGCATGCTCTCTCTTAAAAAGAGCAGTTTTACAACAAAATCTAATCAAATTATACACACAAAAATAATTCTTAATATATGCAATGGATTTTCATGAAAATATAACCTATATTTGTTTCCAGTGGAAAAAAAACCTAAGTAAGGACAATTCTGAAAATTTCTTGTCCTAGGCAAATATGCAGTTCTTTTTTATTTTAAAAATAGAAGTCGCATACCTGTATTTTCTGTATTTGAATGAAATCTATGAAATCTGTACTCTGGTCTAGAATGCCAAGAAGGCCTCATACAGAGAAGTCTCTATTTTCCAATCATCCACAGCATTTGCATTTTCCAATTTAGCACTTGCATCTGCGTGCTATGTATGAAACCTACATCTGTGTCCACAAATTGTACAGAGAAAACAGAGAGAGAGATGTTTGAGTGTAGAAGCAGGTGCAAAACCGAGATTAATAAATACAAACTGAAAAACCCCTTAGAAAATGTTTTCTGTTTGGAAGAAGCAGGAATCAAAGTGAGGTTTAGTTTCCCTCTCAGCATCTTTTAATTAGCTTTTTACCTGCTTTTGGTAAATTTTCTACTTCAGAATGCTTTATGCAAAGACTTGAGCAAAAGGAGTGCAAATAATACATATGAAAGGCTACTGCCCAAAGCTCTGACACCAATTTAGTCTCATTGGTGCAGGCTACATCCTGGACTGTTTAATGTTCTTTTTTCCCTTTAGGTTAAAAACGCTTTGGTTAAAAGGTAAAGTATTTTTTGCAAATTAAACTGAAATTACACTAAAGTGCAGCCCATTCGAGTATGGAAAGGATATGCACAAAACCTGTTTTGCCTACTCAGCGCAATGGCTAACTGATAAATTTTAAAAGCAGTATGCTTCCACTTCCTACTCTGCTGCCTTATTTAACTGGGTTACATTAAGGAGAAGTTTTATAGGTACTCATGTCTTACAAGGGGCTATATGCTATTTCAAGTATTTATTTTAGCTCTATTTTTGCTTAATGAGATTTGTATTAATATTGGAAATGACCGAGTTCATTTTGGCATTAATATTAGCTAATCTCTGCTAATACAGAATTACTTTAGTGATGTTAAAGCTGCCTTTCTGACCATTCCCAGCATGCATGTACTCTATTTGGGCCACATCTACATTAGCAAATTTCCAAATTTGCTTTGATTTGAACTGTAGGGCAGTCTTAGGTGCGCCAGCGGAGACTTCCGTTGGGCGAAACTGAGACGAAACTTGATGGGAGTTTAGTCAGTGGGACCAGACTGGGATTACTAGGAAATGAAACCTCTAAAATGCATGTAGGGAGTGTAGGCATCAGGAGATCAGCACAAACTGTTTCACTACCCAGGTCCCATCCTAGTAGGCACATCACTTGCTAATGTTGCCATAGCTAGATCCTAAAATGGCTTAGAAGTATTTCTTACTATTATTAGTTACTTCTGGTTACTATTGTTACTTAATGAGTATTTCTTACTATTTCCAATTAATATTCAATGGTTTAGTGGAATAATACTAAGAATACTTTGGAAAGTATTCTCTACTTTCTGCTTAAGTAGAGAAAGTGACCTAGATGGCAACAGGAGGAGAAATGTGGGTTTTAGAGAAAGAGAGAACTGAAACAGAATTTTCGATGTATGGGTGATGGAATTTTACATCAAACCTTTCCCTTACTTGTAACAAATACAAAGGAGAGCTAAAAAAACTGCATTAGTTTTTCAGGTGGAGCTGTTATGAGTTCACAAGCCTCACCATAAAAACAACTCTGCCTGGGCAGGGAGTCTCCAAGCAACAGCTATTTCATGTGGTCGTTTCGGATTTTTCATTTCATTTCAAATATTTAGGTGCTCATTTCAAATAACAAACAAGAACATAATCCCAGTAGATTCCTATAAGCATTTAAGGTGCCTCTGAGGCTTTCACTCAGTGAAACAGAGGTGCCAGTAGCTCAGCTGTCCAAAAAGACTGGGAGGTGGTAATCCATTACTGGAAGGGAAAGCTCTGCTTAATGGCCAAACGGGAAAAATAAGACAGAAGAGAGGCCAGCACCTAGCCACAGGAAGCATGTAGACAGAATTAAGCACCTTTCATAGATCACAGGTGTGGCTTAATGGTTTACATTTTCAAAATGGGCAAGTTCATTTGTTTGCTGAATTTGTGGTCATGGTTGCTATAATTGCAAGAGAAAATAGTGCTGAGTTAGATGGCGAGACGCTTGTTTCCACATGCAAATAAGATCGACTTCTCTTTTGTCATAATTTCTTGATCAGTTTTTTCTTCTGAAATCTCCCATGACAAAGTGTATTGAATCAGTATTATAATTATATTACAGCAAAATTAAAAATAGAGAGAAGCTATTGGGATGACAAGAAAAACTGATGTTTTATATTTAAGACAAGGTAATTCATCAAAAAGCACACCACGCTTTAAATATTTACAAAGCATTTTGTCAAAATGCAATAATGACCAAGATTAAGGTGTCCAAAAGAGCTACTGTTTTTGACAGAAAAATAAACTCTAATGAATTGAGGTTTCTTTCAGGCAGAGCCTGAGGCATGCCTTCAAGAACATTTTTTCCCGAGTTCCATGTACTCCCCTAAACTTGCAATATTTTAGAAATCTGAACACCGAATAGATGTCTTTTTATTGCCAAGGTGTTTTTGCTCATTTGGGGTAATTTCTGTACGTCTGGGCTGGGTGCAGTGAATGCCTATGCCCTGAGCAGGCAGGGTGTCAGAGCAGGACACCGACACTGAGCCGCTCTGCTCTGGCCAGCGTACAACAGAAACCTGTCTTTAGACAGGGGCAGCTGCAAAGTCAGTTAAACAAACACAGTAAATAATTTTTTAAACATATAATTTGTATGTCCTTAGAGAATAATACATTAATATGCATCAGCCAGTGTGAATTTGTCAAAAACAAATGATGGTAAACCAGCCCAGTTGCCATCTTTGACAAGGCAGCAGGGCTGTTGGATGGGAAAGGGAGCAGAGGAGCAGGAGAAAGCAGGAGGTACAAGCTACCTTGATTTTAGGAGGGCTTGGGACACACTCCACGTGACATTCTTATAAGCTAACTAGGGAACGAGGATCCATTATGAATTTCCTCAGAGATAGGCTTTCAAGTGACTGAAAGCCTATTTAAATTCTCAAGGATTTTATGCCAGATGAGTGGAGGTTCCTGAGATGGGGAGAATGTCTCCTCTTTGCCAGGTGCTATTCAATATTTTCATTAGCTGATGCATGGTGGAATAGAGATCTCTTCCCAAGCTGGCAGATGATGCCAGGGAAATGGGACTGTTAGCACTCTGGAGGACATGATCAGAATCCAAAACAATTTTAATGCATTGAATAAAATCAACTGAATTCCGTAAGTTTTCACCCATTCAGGAAAGGCAGCTAAAAGGTGCAATATGTATGAACGTTGCTTTGTGTTTGTCCTGCAAAAGATTTCTAATGTAAATCTGTGAAAGGTGCGGGAAGCCAAATCCAAGGATTTTCACAAATGCTTTAGATCCTAGAGCACAGTGTTATTCCTCTGTGTTCCCTATCCTGGTCCTGGCCCCCATCCTGCTCTTTGGCTCCCTCGATGAAGTCTCAACCCACTGGACAGAAATCAAGTTAGTTGTTTTCCCACCACTGCTATTCTGAAAAGAAATCAGCTCCAGCATTTTCTGAGGGTTCTGGTCTGCTCCAGTGTGGTAGGTGCTACTGCAATTTCTGAATCTCGGTCCAGCTTTTGGCATCCCCTCAACCAGGAAAAATATTTGGCAGTATTGAAGGATGTCTTGAGGAAGATTTCTTGTCACAGTAATATAAAAATATTCTGCAAGTTCTATAAAAATGTGAATTAACATTGCATATCTCACTTTCAACACTAGATTTACCGCTGATCAGCAGACTCATGGAATAGATACTGCCTTCCTTTGGGGACCTGCTTTTATGATTGCTCCCGTTCTTAAAGAGGCAAGTATTGTAATTAAAAAATGCCATCATACTCGAATAAAAGAAATGAACTGCACTTAGGGCATTGGATGACATTCAGGGCATGTTTGCTCATATCCAGCCATTTCTTCCCTCCACTGTCAAAGCTTGCAGAATGCAGTTCTGAGCAGCACAGACAGTACAGAGCTGCCCAGTGCTTGAAGTGGGAGGATGAAAGTGAGGGCACAGCATTTCCCTGCTACTCCAAGCGCCGAATGGATGTAAACAGGCTGGATGCTGCCCCTCGTGTGCTCCTGTTATTTTGCTGACAGCTCCCTCCAAGGACACACACAGAGAGCAGTAACTGTTGAGCTAGGAAGAAACACGCAGATATTAAAGCAAACTGGTTTCCATATTACCACTCACCCAGAGCGTTTTGGAGCTGTAGCATCTCAAGGGCTGTGCTAGGAGTTTCCCAGCATCACAGGCAAATGCAGTCATTATGGAAACGGTAATGACAATGTTAGCTGCTAATATGACAGGTTTTAAAAAGCAGCATTTTCCTATGGCTGTGCTGGGCATGGCACTGGGGTCAGGGCTTTCACTGCTCGGCTGAAGCAAGGGTGGGTTTCTCTCCTTGCCCCACCACTGACTGCTGACAGCACCAGAAAGGTATATCTGAGCAGAGCTAAATATTTGCCTGTGATGTATCCTAGAGCTGTTTGTGATCAGCATGCTTCCAGAACAACTGATACATTTTCTAGATGTTGCTGATGATCAAACATATAAACAGGCCACTGTTAGTCACTGTTAGGCCACTTCTTTTACCCAGCCCTTGTGCCTCCATGAATTTAAAAGGAAATTCTTATTCCTGCATCTAAAACCATTCTGACTCCACCGAGGCACTTCATTCGTCAGTCTTTCATCTTCAGACTCCCCCAGGTTTCTAATAGCTGATGACTAAAAAGGAGATTTCACAGGGTCTCAGACCAGCACGATGATGAAAGATGTGAGAGAAACCTTCCCACGAAGAGAAGGTGACAAGCCAGGGGTGCCTTCCTGCAAAGAAGTGAATGAAAGGGAACATTATAAGGATACATAAAATGATAGAGGGTCTAGATAAGGGGTTCCTAATGTTTTTTAGGGGACTGCAGCACAAAAGGAAGGCCAGGTGCCTGTGGCCTGATGGGGGAAGCAGAGCTTTGGAGGCAACATGTTGCTGGTTCTTGTGGTGGGAGAGGTGGCAGCCAGGGCTTGTGCCAGCTAGCACAAGCAAGGGGCAGAGGTGAGCTGTAAGCCCCTCACCGTGGCATTGCAGGCCAGCAGTGACTGCGTCAAACTGCAGCATGGCACCTGCTTGTCTAGAGAAGATGGGTCAGGGACAGCTTTCCCTTTGGGTCAGGCATAGCTTTCCCATCGCTCCTTGAGTCCTAGGGTGTGAGCAAGTGAGACATCCATCAAAATTAAAATGGCGAACTGCCTTACACACTGGCTTGTTATTTAGGGAGTCATGAAGTCAAGGCTCATCACAATTCAGATGGTGGTTACCCACTTCTCTACAGACCAGAATAGCCAGGGTTGTCATAATAATGCAGAGAAAATATGGAGAGAGGGGCATCTTGACTTTATAGGGTTTTCCTTCAAGTTTTCAAGGCACTTTATAGATTAAGCCAACCTTTAATTGTTAAACAGCTAGTAAGATCTAAACAGACAGAGCAAACTACCCCAACCTTCCTTACTGCAACACTAGGACACTTTGCCTGAAACATCTAGCACTGCCCACTGTGGGAGACAAGCCACAGGACAAGACAAATTTCCAGTTTAGCAATTCTTGTATTCTAATGTGAGATTTGCATACTTTAATAAATCAGTTATTTTTTACTGCTTCTATTTGTTTATGTACATATATAAAAATCCCTAAAAAATCAAATGGTAACTTTGCCTTAACTTTTCTCCTCCACCTTCACTTTTTACGCTCCACCTGCTCCCTGGGGTAAACCTTGGGGGTAAACCGTAACTCTGCAAAGGGGCAAACACCTATGTTGAGAATCAAAATTAATCTGTTTGTGAGAATAAGCAACTCGTGACAAGAAAGGAAGTATGTTTTGATTCCAGCTTTTCCTGGAGTTATTAATTGAAAGTGCCTTTAGCATGATTTCAACCCTGCAGCAATACGACACAACGCATGCTGCAAAACGAAGTACAGCAATTGTGCAATTAGCAGCACATTATTTATTATTATTTATCTGCAACTTTAAATTGTTGCCAAGAAGACAAATATCTGTCTGTCCTCCTTGCCAGACCTTACTCCCTGCCTGTTTCTGCAACAGGAACGGCGCAAGAGGCACTGAGCAGTGGTGTCCCCCCACTCCATCATCAGATGTGAAGTCTTGTCTTGCACAGGCTGCTGTAGACCTCACTGGGATTGCTCAGATGTTAGAGGAGTGCACCTAGGCCAGTTACATTTGCAAGACATAGAGCTATGTACTAGACCAAAATAATCATATAACATTGACTCATCCCACGGAACTGCAGTAATATCCCCCAAATAGGATTGGCTTGTCTGTTTAACATTATAGATTAGCCAGCACTAGTCCACTGCTTTGATAATAAATCAGCCATAATATCCAAGATTTGATGTTATTAGAATATTCAGCATACATCTCTCCATGCGCAAATATAATAAAGCTAATGTAATATCAGAAATGCACAAAGAAAAAAGACTTTAATCACTTTATAACAATTACAGGGAGCAAGATCTGTGGATGTATACTTCCCTGAAGCACCATGGTTTGACTACTATACCGTATGTATTTTTAAGATTCAGTTTCTTACATTTTTACATAATTTAAAATGGTACAGTTCCAGCAAAATAACTTTTATCAATGTTCAGCAGTATTTTTACCTCGGCATCTGTGTTTAAGAAAACTAGAGCACAAAAAGTCTACACAAGGCTAGCTGGGAGAGTAAATTACACAGCTTTCAGTAGCATTTTATTTTCTATTTTTGGTTTGTAAAGCTCTAAGACACAGAGAACTGAATTTTCAAGAGCAGCCTAGAAATTCATGAAACTGTAAAGATTTCTTTCTTTTTTCCTCCCTTATTGCATGTTTTAATTCTTGTACTGATACACTTCCCTGCATAGAAACAGAGACAGAAACCTGAGTTGTACTCCTGAGAACATGCTGCGAACTATTTTGCGCATGCAGTTTTGCGCATGCATCACTTGACAGAAGGCATATTTAGTAAGTAGGGTGAGGCTCCTCTCTGAAAGATGCTTCCAAGAGATGCAGAACAATCTGCTCCGTGGAAAGTGCCAGCCTCTTCTAGTCTCAGAGACTACAGGTTTTGACCTTTCGATCACCATCCCCAGTGCTGCATTTCCAAAAGTGCTCAGTTTCAACCTAACTACGCTTTGCTGCAATCTGCAGGATAAGACCAGTGTTGGC